TTATTCCATGAAACAGTTGCTTTTTCAAAAGAGATCGATGTAATAAGAGGATAATTATTTTCAGGTGGAATATCGATTTCATCTTCATTTAGAAAGTTTTCTATTCTACGTAAACTGACCAGGGTTTGAAGTGCCACAGTAAAAACTTCAGGTAAAATATTAAGTGCAAATCGAAGTTCATTGAAAATAACTATCGAAGTAAAAGCAACTGCTGCTGTAAGCTCATTTCCTTGAATTTTGGTATAAAAGAAAAGGCTAAGAATAGTAACCAAGATAGGTGAAGCCGACCACAATAAATCAAATATGGCCAAATAAATAAAATGATTTCGAAGTTGTTTAAGCTCAATTTTGCGAGACTCTACAGAAAATAAAAAATTGATTATATCAACGTAAGCAAGGTTTTACAGATAATGCGAAAAAAAAAGTTAAGTAATATGTACCCAATACTCTATTTTCCCAATTCTTTTCCCAGGTAAAGAATTTTATCATGCGAATGCCTTGCAGAACCTTTCATTTTGACTCAGAATAAGCATACAAAGACATATATGGATATATATTGGTAATATGACATTAAAGGACTTACTTCATTCATAAGCCCCACTCTACGATCTCTGGCATTCATAAGTTTGTCTTGGGTTTTTGCATATAACTTGGCCGTTTGATGATTAATCGGAAGTGTAATAATCATAACTGACAAACCGAGCAAGCAAGAAACACCCAATAATTGATACAAAAAGTAAACACCAACAGCTAATTCTATTGGACTATCAATTGCGCATGGCCACCAGATAGAGAATTCATGAACACGATTTGAATCAATTGACATAAGATTAGTAATCTTGCCAACGGATGAATCACTATCATCAACATCATCTAAATTATCCTCAGATTTATCAGTTTCATCTTTTACAACGGAAACATGAGAATCGATTCGTCTTAAACTTTTTGAATAGATTTCAGAATTAAGCATCCCCTTTATGCTAATTTGAAGTACACTTGAAGCCCAATACCAATTCTGAGCAGCAATGAAATGTAATAAGATACTTGATATAAGCAGACCAAATATATATATAAATCCGGGCTCCAACGAATCACCTTCTTGTTTCGTTTGAATAAACGATAAAAAAAGGAACATGAAACCAATTGGAGCATAATATAATGAAGCACTAATCGTTGTGAGCAAAAATTGTAAAGCTATGACATGTTTATTAGCGATCCATATCCGATACGAAAGTTTATTTCCTCTGGATGTTTTAAAAACATTATATAAAGATCTAGCTTGAAGAGCAAATGGAAGTAAATCGAGATCATCATCACTGAATGTCTCTTGTTTGTAAGCTTTGAAAACTAATTTAGAAACAGAGGAATAAGTGATAAATTCCCATATTGAACAATACTCGATTGAACAAACAGCTCTTCCATTTTGAAATATTGGTGGACCCATTGGAGTTGTGATAGCAATTGATGTAGCTGTTACTGAGAAAACAAAATAACATATTATAGATAATTGTTTAATTATTTCGTCTATACGATAAGAACCACTTGATCTTAATTTTATAACAGTTGTAAGTTGCCAAAGTGAACATAAAGTGGAAGTAAAAAAAAATGCTGTCAAATACGAATTTAATATCCATCTCCAACGTCGTGATTTCAATGATAAGGCAATAATTGAAATTGTGAGGGCATAAAACTTTTAGATCAAAGAAAACACTATAAATAATAGTTATCGACAATAAAGAAAAAGAATAATAAAATAAATGATAGATTTACCCAACAAATTGCAAGAATTCCAGTACTTAAAATATCATAATTTAAATTATTTTCATGTTTAAATCTCCAACAGAACAAGAAAGTAAACAATCCAGTCTGCAGTATCGTAATCACAAGTTTGACAACATCTCTTTTTACAGTTGAGAAGCGCGCACTAGTGATTATATCATCAGGAACCTCGTCTGATGGTATTTCAACATAGTTTTTTCGATTGTGAATAGTTTGTAAAATTAATGATATGCTACTAATTGCTACAACAATTATCGAAGGAATGGTATCCACTAAAGACATTTTTTTTTTTAGTATAATTTCATGAAGCAACGATATTTAAATGTAATCCTGTACAACCATTCAAATTTTATGCTCATTTACTGTATCGTTATCTCTACTGCGTGCATTGCATCTTAGTACTACATGAACATGTGTATTAGTAATAGGTTTTAAAGTCGCGA